TTCCACCCAGACTGTACTTGCACTGCACATGACAAAACTGTGTAACCTTTTTTCTATCATATAGGTTTTATGACAATTAAATGCACTATCCTTACATCAACAATACCAAGTCCAACAAAATTCCCACTGACTTTAACCAAAATTTGACCAATCCCGCATCTGTTAAGGTAGTTTACTGACAAAACATACTCAGAAATCTTTCAAATGCACCAAGAGGGTTACTGTAATACTCAAAATCTGAAATAAAAATATAGCGTCACGAACTAAGTTTTCCACAAAACGACTTCAACGCCTAATTGGTTCCTATGACAGAAACATTCCATCATATCTCAAAAATTTGTTCATGACCTATGCTGATAAATGTGGTGTTATGAAAACTACATAAGCCTGTCACAAAAAAACTGAAGAATTATGAATATTATTACAAATCATCCAGAAAATACCCATTAACTTGTTTACATGGCCACTTTTGGGATTATATTGCCTAAGAAAACTCTATTTTCGGTAAAATCTGTAAATATGAATGACTTGCATGTATGTGAACAATTAAATGATTTACCATGATAACTTTGTTCTCTGTCTTAATAGTGGTTATTAAGTAAGTGAATCTCTGCCAGTCTGTGGCACACTTACCACTGGCATGAGTCAATCTCTTTTTGGTGTCCAGTACACACAGGATTTGAACTTGGGTTGGGACCTACTACAGAACATGTTTTCTATTACACATAAAATAAATTGTCATATATACATTCACTGACAGAGGGTGAATTAAAAAATAAAACAACTTGATTAAAATGTTTGCTGTGACCTCATCTACATACATGTATATGTTAACGATGGGAATGCATTTTGTCTTGCAGAGGTAGACCAGTAACATATTTTTATGAAAAAGAAAATGACAAAGTAGACTACGTGCTTCCGATGATGACGCAACCTTTTGATTTTAAGAAAAGAAGGTAAATTGAGATTTGTTTATTAGTTGGAATTAATATTTGCTGAAAAGACTTTTTGGGCGTTTAGTTTATTTTCAATGATTTTGAATAAGGTAGATGTAAAATATATATTGCTGGGTTTTATTTTCACTGATTCTTATTCCTTCAGTGAAAATAGCAAAAATAAATTCCATGTCAGAATAAAGTATTTTAAGTAGTCATATATTGAAGCCTGTTTTTGAAGACTATTCTTGGGGGCGGAGCTACATCACAGAATGTTGCTAAAGAAGCACACCACTGTACCATGTATTTCTATGGGCTCTGTGTGACCTGCTGTAGGATGCCATTCAAAAAGCCGGTTAAAACAGCTAAAGTCAAGGAAACAGCACAAACTCAAGTAATCCTGAGCAACCAAATTTGTATATGTTGCACTGTTCAGGGGAGTCTCAACAACTAGACCAAAAAACGGTTTTCTAAAGAGTTTTCAGCATTTGTTTTCACTGGGCGGTGAATGCTCTGATGTCCACCCCAAGAATATGTGAACTTAAAGAAGAGTCAATTGTGGCTTTCTATGGAGTAGATATTTTGATAACAGATTACTTGAAGCAACGTAATGCTATTGTTCACAATTTGTCCATCATTTTGATTTTGTAAATAACTAAGTGGTTGTTTGCATTTTGAATGGCAAATGGAAGTCAGCTTGCTGTGCTCAGTTTTCTCTCTAATTTATGTCTAAAATAACATTAGTACTATTTTTTTTGGTATTTGTACTGAAAGAATACACTAAAAGAAAGTGATATACCGATTATTAAAAAAACATGAAAATTTGACCAGATTTCCCTTGTTGCTACC